AAAGTGTGTTTTGTGTTTGTCCGAGTGAGCAACAGTAACTAAGGGGGGCGGGGCTTCGTTTCTCCCATCGCCACCATCACATACATCAAGTTTCACCTCAACTTTTTCCACTGGAGAAAACCACTGTCCTCGAATGACTCGAGTGTTGTACTTGCCTTCCCATTGCTGGAGTGGATGCGCAGGTGATGTGGACGAATCGGATCTTCACTGGCAGCTGCTTCTAGGACAGGTGTGTTCCTCCATGCCGTCACAAGTCAAGGCATCCCCATCCGGGGCTTTCACACGTGTGCAGGTGTGCGGAGGAGACGTGGCATGCCCTGACATGAGGAAGTGAAAACAACACCGCACAATCAGCACAGGACGATGCGTCACGCTCACAAGTAGACCGAAGCGACAGATCACAAGTAATGTCTAGTTAGTTGCCGACATAGACATCACTCGTCTACGAGCCTGGTACTTCACGAGTCGCACGCGCCCTGCATGCTCTCTAGATAGGTGCAGCTCTCTAGATTTTGAAACACCACCACAGCTGACGTCTGATCAGGCCGAGGACAGTTTCGATGATAAACGGAAGCCTTGTTTGATAACGTTAGTTAAGAGCAGGCGTGTGCGGTTTTGGAGAGTGATTACATGCTGTCAGATGTGTTTATCCTCTGGCCAGATAAATATGAAGATCTGTAAGATCGCAGGAATGTGTTCTCACCGTCAGGCTAACGTTACATCAGGGACGGATGCGCCAATAATAGAGCCATCCTCTGAGATTTATGAATTCAGTGGTCCTGTGATTGAAATCCACTCGGTGAACACAAAAAGATGGCACTTCAGTTCCGTTTGGCAGCGGTGATCGTGCAAATGTGGTCGAGAAAAGCCGCTAATTCCCGACAGTAGCCGAGCAACAGCTCAGTTCGGGAGTAAAAACTGTCAGTGCGCATGCGTGCCAAATCCGGAAACTCGCGTCTGCGTATGGCAAGCCGTTTTAGCATTAAATGCCCCTTGCTGTACTAGTCATACAGTGCGTTCCAAACAGTAGGGATGGGCGTATCGATACTGACGCGAGTATCTCAGTTCTCGGACATCTGTAGGTTTCAGCGCCATAGAGAAACACTGGAAGATCCGAAGCTCGCATCGGTTTAATGGTGTTTATGCTACAAAAATGGAACAACGATAAGCCTAGGGTACTTGTAACACTAATTCCAGCTATCCCGAGAGGATAGGCAGTGTCATTTACTTTATTCCATTTCCTAAATCCAACCAAAACAGAGCAAAAAGTGTGTTTTGTGTTTGTCCGAGTGAGCAACAGTAACTAAGGGGGGCGGGGCTTCGTTTCTCCCATCGCCACCATCACATACATAATAAACAAATTGAAATTGTAGCCTACATAGTTTGTGCAATTACAATTATTTAAATTGAACGTTGAAAGATAATATTGATCATGTTCTATTCTGTAATGTTAATAGAAATCATACACTGTCAGAATAAAAAGGTTGCATTTTATGCATGCAACAGGCATTCACTGGCAGTCCCTAATGGCAGTACAAAATATTGCACTAAATCAAAAGTTCAAATGTTACAAATAAGTTAGAATATTAATGTTGTAATACTGGTAGCACTAATATAAAAATGTGATGAGATATGTTACAAAAAAGTTAAAATTTTGAAATGCGTTGATGGTTGTATTTTTTTGTATTTGATCTCAGTATTCCTATCAGTGTTGTATAAGGTTTATATGCATAATAGTAACCCTAGAATGTGATCAAACGGATTAAAATAGCTGGGCTAAGATATATAACAATTTTTAAGACTGCAGAAATATGTTAATTCACTATACACATTATCCCACCGGTTACAATTGTGACTGACCATAAAATAAAATTTTCCACACACTTTTCCACAAAAAAAAAAAATATTATTTCAAAGGGATACTAATCATACACATCATTTTGATATTTTCATGTCTGGGAAAAATTTGGGATTAAACGGGTTAAAATGCGTTTTAAACATAAAGTTAAGTGGTTTTCATTAACCATTTTACTCTTAGTAGTTTATTAATTTAATAAATTTCATAATTTAAAAGTTTAGTGCAGAAGTATCGAATCGGTATCGATATCGATATCGACGAGACTGCCTTGAAAAATATCAGTATCGTATCGAAAACAAAATAAGGGGTATCGCCCATCCCTACCAAACAGGATATATCGCCCTCCGAAGGGCACTTCTGGAGTGAAAAAAATCATGGCCGCCATATTGAAGGATCTTTCCAAACCAAAGTGCTCAAAACTGGCCACTTCAAAGGGCCCTTCGGAATGAAGGATTTGGAAGGGTACAACTGATGGACACTTCGGGCTCCCATGATCCTTTGCGCAGATTATTTGCATGATGACGGCGCCTCCATGTGGGCACGTGATGATGACGCAGAAGGGCACTTCAAGAAACAGTTGTTTGGTCCCCTACACCCTTCAAAGCTCTCTCTCCGGAGGGTAAACCCTTTGAAGGGATTAGGGCATAGGGATGAGCCCTTCCGAATGGAACGCAGGGATAATTTAGTTTTGACCAAGCGTCAACCTTCTGGTCTCTCTCTTGAAACCAACACGAAAGTGACTAAAACTGCAACTCATCGACTGGCCGCTAGAGGCTGGCTCCAAAAGGGAGACAGTCCCATAGACTCCCCATTTTAAAATGCCCAACTTTACAGCAGAAAAAAAAATGTTTACAGCCTAGTACAAAAAGTGGTTTTGGTCTATATCTTATTTTGCCCTTCATGACAACTGTGAGGGGGGTGAATTTTTTTATAACTCCTCCGTTTAAATTATATTAAGCCTTAAAGTTATGCGTAATTAAGGGCGTGGCCACTTGAGTGACAGGTGGATTGCCGCTACTGTCACCACCGTCGAGGTTGGTGGGCGTGGTTTCAGCAACCAGCTCCCGCCTCTTTGCCCATTTTCGATTATCTGGGAGTGACAGGCGGTGACGCGCTGCCAAGATGGCGACGGCCGGCTCCGCCCACTTTGAGCTTCAAAAACGCTCTTCAGAAACCTACGTCCATGTTTTTATACAGTCTATGGTTTTGACTAGTCAAAATACCAATTCCAGATATCTATTCTGCAATTTTGATAGATGACTTCTTTAGTAACATGCGCAAAGATATTTAGAGATATCTCTAATTCAGTTTCGACCTGTCGCAATTAAATTTTAAGATATCTGAATTGACCGTTAGCAAAGAACTTGACTGACAGGCGATCTGACTAATCATAACGCCGAATCCGCCATTTTGTCTGACAAACAAATCAGATAGGATTTCTCATATATTTAAATGAGTTTTGACTAGGAAGAATTCCAGTTCAAGATATATCTCTTATTAGTTTTGCTTAGTCAAAAATAAAATTCAAGATATCTACTCTTGTAATTTGACTAGTAATAAATTACTTTCAGATATCTAATAACGTATTTTGGATATCTTTAAAAATTATGAATTAAAGATATTTTAAATAAAATTTTTGACTAGTCAAGCACCAGCTAGAGATATCTCAAATTATAATTTTAACGAGTGGTGATTCAGTCAGAGATATCTCGAGTTTAATTATCACTAGTAAAATTGTAATTTGAGATATATCTAATTAGAATTATGCCTGGTACAAAATCAATATCTTTAATTACAATTTTACCAGTCAAAACTCATTTGTAGATATCAGAAAATATTTTCCAATGGAAGTCAATGGAAGAATATGACTAGTCAAAACATTGTAGATATCTCGAATGCATATAATGACTAGTCATAAACACATTGTAGATATCCTAATTCCAATTACGACGAGTCGAAATTGCAGAATAGTTGCAGACTAATCAAAACTAAATTATGACTATTACAGCAAGGGGTGTTTAATGCTAACCCGGCTTGCCATATAATCTGCGTCTACACTGCTGCTCTGACGTCATTTTGCGCGTCCCATTCCTCACTAATATACATTGCGTGTTGTGGAAAGACTTTTCCTTATTCATTATTGAGAGTATTGATAAAGAATGTGCTTTACTTTGGGAAATGTTTTGTTTGGATTTGTTAATTGGAAAAAAAGTGCATTAACAAAATGTGATATACATAAATGTAAGTTCTCAAGTCAGAAGCCACTTTTTTATGTTGTGCTTGCTGAAATACAGCATTACTTTGGGACTATTTCTAACTCGCATAATAAGAAGTCTTTAAAATGTGTAAGTTGTTCAATCTTTTCCTTTGAATGTGAGGTTTTAATTATATACCCCTGTATTTTTGTATTTTATATTTTACATACTGGTAAAACATTTAGAGCTTGAATGCACTGTAAGTCGTTTTAGATAAAAGCATCTGCTAAATGCATAAATTATTATTATTATTATTATATTTTTGTATTGTAACCGTTTCCTTATTTGTTGCCATAATATTCTCAATAAATAAATAAAATAAAAATAAATAAACATTGGAAGTTAATTCAAATCACATTCTCTTAGAAACATAAAATATCTATCGTTATAAAAAAAAATTGGATAGATGTACACTTGTTCAAAAGAGTAACTTTTTTTAATTAACACTTGTATTCAGCAGCGACATTGATCATTAAAAAGGTCACAGCGATGACATTTATAATGTTACGAAAGATGTCGGTTTCAAACAAATGCAGCGCTTTTGAGCTTTCAAAATATTATTTCACTCTGTTTATTCTTTTACAAATAAACGCAGCTTTGTTAAGAATATGTGACTTCTTTCAGAAACAATACATCAACCTTAAACTTTGAAAAACTATTTTATTTTCTTTAGTTTCTGGCAGTGTTTATAACTCTTAATAACCATTAATATGGCTATGTACTTAAAACTACAGATTTTAATATACTATACTCTTCAAAATAATAATAATTATCATATCAAATAATATTAATATTGAAAAAACATCTGCGTGAGCATCGCACTTATCAAAACAAAGAGTACAGAATATAGTTTATTTGACATCATAATTTGTAGTTTTATTAGAATAATACATTGTACAGACTTTACAAACTCAAAAAGGCCACTCTTAAAACTTTCTTTAAAAAATCAAAAATAGACATGCCATTACAAACATGAATAAGGGCTTTTCATAAAGACTCGGTAGGGCTTATTACAATGCAAGGACACACATGTACTGTATCGGATGGCTTTCTTTAGTGGATAGCGATGAACCCATTTTAGTGGCTGCTTGTGCGGCGCGGTCGGTCACTGTGCCGGCTCCGGCCTCCTCTGAGCTGAAACACAGAGAACAGAAAACACTCAATAAAAGAAACATTCCCTGTTTTTACAAGGTCATAATCAATTATGAAAACTGTTACAAGGAAAAGAGCAGTGAAAGATTTTTATTTAAAAAAAAAAATACAATCGATACAATAAATACTTCATTAAAAAAAGTCTGAATGAATCAATGATAGATGGACTGATTTAATTATTCAACAGTATGTTTTGACATCTTTTAAGTCTAGCTTTGGAGATTTAGACAGAAAGGTGACATTTGATTGACGTGTAAAACAACCAACCACAGTCTGTTTTTTTATGTGAACTTCACAAATAAATCTTGTATTTCAACAACAACAACAACAACAACATAATTATATTAAAGCAAACAGTGGTGCTGCTGTCTCAGTGAAACTTTGCAAAAACAAAAATATTGTGTCTTGTTTAGCTTATCTAAAAGGGCCTCAAACTAAACCCCTGATTAATTAATTAATTAAATTAAATTAGGGCCTAATTCTATGAAGTTCACATCAATAAACTGCACAATTTTTGCACTGAATCCGAACTCTAAGTAAGTGTTGTCAAGATACTGCAATTTCGCATTTCGGTAGTTTGAAAAATATTTAATACCATTTTTAATAACAGAGAGAATAATTGCCACAACATTAAAATTAAACTTTATTAATAAAGTAGCTTTGAAATTATAACAACAACA